TCTCTACTAAAAATAGAAAGAAATTGGCTGGACAACTAAAAATATATATATAAAGAAATTAGCTGGGCATGGTGGCGCATGCCTGTAGTCCCAGATACTCGGGAGGCTGAGGCAGGAAGATTGCTCGAGCCCAGGAGTTTGAGGTTGCTGTGAGCTAGGCAGACGCCATGGCACTCTAGCCCGGGCAACAGAGTGAGACTCTGTTTCCAAAAAAACCAGAAGTTGTTATTTGTGAAAACTGAATACCTGTAAGCTCTATGCTGAGCACTGAGGGGAAAGGGAGATATAAAAATAGGTCCTTCCACGAGGATAGTTAATTTTTTTTCAGTATAATTTAAGGTTTCATTTAACAGCCACTTTTCCTCACACTCCCGCACATGCATTACAGTAAAAACATTCTCTTTACACATAGGTTCTTAGCTCTAAGTGGACCATTCAGCCAAGATTTTTCCCAAGGAAATTTTAGACGAACTTTCTCATGTTGCAACAAAACTTTAAAAACAAACAAACACGGACAACATAGGGAATCCCCAACACAAAATGCCAGACCTATGAAACAAATGGGAATCCAGAGGGAACAGACACCACCCCAAAATGCCCTGCTATAGAGCTCCAAACTACTGCCCTGCCACAGGGCTGGAAGGTTCAAAACCCTCCCCGAATAGTGGCCTAGCTCCCCCCCCCACCACTGCTTACAGGGAAGCACAAATGAGCTCCGAATCCAAACCAGGTTTCCTAGTTCCACTCAACCTCATTTCACTCCCCCAAATGGTGTGCCTCTAATCAAACATACATAGCCAACAGGAAGGTGTGAAAACCTCCCAAATGGGTAAAATCAGGGTCTTGGGGTGCATCCTGGGGAAGTTATCAAACAAACAAATGGCCATGGTGTCCGGACACTTGCCAAATCCGTTTCCTTCCCCTCAAGGAAGGTCAGGTTGGTCGAAGATGTGTTCATTTGGGTAGAAAGAGACAGGACTTCCCCGGAGCTAAATGGGCCCCAGCAGCTGCTGGGAGAATCCCTCTCTTTCTTACCCAATAAGGTGATGTTCCTGCCCATGGCTCGACCCAGAGCTGCTCCCTGCCTCTTCTAGCAGTCACAGGGTACCATTCTGCTGGGAAGCTGATAGGCCCACCCGGGGATGCCAAATCTTTTACTGAAAGTTCAGCACCTAGCCTGGAGGCTACATCAGAAGAACGAGGACAAGTGGTTTGAGGAGAAGGAAAGAGGAGTTTATTAATTTGCCAGCAAATGAGGAGGATGGAGACTCCTGTCTGAAATGCTATCATCCCCCGAGGATCTTTAGTTATCTAGTAGGGGAGGTAGACACACAAAAAAACCAAGGAGTTTGGTAATGGGCCTTAACACAAGGATTTGCATCGACATGAAGTGTCCACTCCACCCTGGAGAAGTAGTTTAGGCACTAAAAGAATTTGCTTCAATATTTAATCATTTTTAAAAGTCATTATGGTACTAGCAGATACACTGTGGGAAAATGAGCTTTCTGACATGTTGAAAAGCTTAAGGCAGAGATAGTTAGGGATACCCGGGCGCTGATTCTTCTTCCTCTAATGCTCCCCCTACTCATGATCTAGGAACCATGTGGTCTGGATGATATCTAAGTAGAAAACCCAGAGAGCCTCGTGTAATGGCTGGTGCAAATTTTCGTGGATTACTAATGTAAGGTCCAAGTAAAAGAAGGTTTCTTTAAATTCCACTAAACATTTGACTCACACACTACTGTAGGCTGCCCTAATTCAGATCGGATTTGTAAATCTTTGGTTAATTAAATCAGGAATTTAATCATACCTGAGAGAGAGTGATTTGTGAGTGTATGTGTGTGTGTGTGTGTGTGTGTGTGTGTGTGTGAGAGACAGAGAGAGGGAGAGAGAGAGAGAGAGAGAGAGAGAGAGAGAGGCTGGTCTCTTCTTGTTAATCCATCACCGGATTAAAACTCTGCAGTTGGTGCCAATAGTGGGATTATTATTAAGACCCCTCCCTCACACCATTATTAGATTTTGGAAGGTTAGATGTTGGTAGAATGAAAGAGGGAATGATGAATTGGGGATGGAGCCCAAGTAGAGACAGGAAATGCCAGTGTGGGGTCATTGAATGAGGTTTCAAGGAGAAATTATATCATTGCAATTGATCCACGTTCCTCTATGTCTCTTTTTTTTTTTTTTTTTTTTTGAGACAGAGTCTCACTCTGTTTCCCTGGCTAGAGTGAGTGCCGTGGCATCAGCCTAGCTCACAGCAACCTCAAACTCCTGGGCTCAAGCGATCCTACTGCCTCAGCCTCCCAAGTAGCTGGGACTACAGGCATGTGCCACCATGCCCGGATAATTTTTTCTATATATTTTTAGTTGTCCAATTAATTTCTTTCTATTTTTTTAGTAAAGACGGGGTTTCGCTCTTGCTCAGGCTGGTCTCAAACTCCTGAGCTCAAAGAATCCGCCCGCCTCGGCCTCCCAGAGTGTTGGGATTACAGGCGTGAGCCACCGCGCCCGGCCTCCTCTATGTCTTGACCAATGGATAAGCTAGGCAAGAGCCAGGTGACCCAGTTCTTTGGCTTTTCTGAACTGTACTAGGTAAAATGACAACAGAAGATTCCCAGAAGGATTTTCAAAGCCTATGAGCTTAAGGTAATCCCACAGATCCTCCCAAACCCCAACCAGATGGGCACGAGTGGCTTTCCCAGAAGAAAGTAGGTAACTTCTGAGGTGTAGGTGGGGGAAGGGAGAGTGTAGCTGAGAAATTAGGAGGTGGGGAAGGGGGCTACAAAACAAGAGAAATAAATCAGAGGCCAAAGATTTTAAATGTGCGTAAAGGGGTGGGTAATAAAGTTAAGAAATGCTCTGTCTTCACTCACCTTCTCCAATAAAATAGCTCAGGAGGAAATTGGTTCCAGCTGAAAATTGTTCTTTGTAAGTGGTTTTGTTTTAGGATGCTTTCAATCATTTCCCTTATGAATCACTCTGGCTCAAGAATGAAATTTACACCTGTAATCCTAGCAGACTGGGAGGCTGAGGAGGGAGGATTGCTTGAGCTCAGGAGTTAGAGACCAGCCTGAGCCAGAGCGAGACCCCGTCTCTACCATAAATAAAAAGAAATAAGCCAGACAACTAAAAATAGAAAAAATTAGCCGGGCATGGTGGCGCGTGCCTGTAGTCCCAGCTACCTGGGAGGCTGAGGCAGGAGGACCGCTTGAGCCCAGGAGTTTGAGGTTGCTGTGAGCTAAGCTAACGCCACGGCACTCTAGCCTAGGCAAGAGAGTGAGACTCTGTCTCAAAAAACAAAAACGAAAACAAAACAAAACAAAAAAGTATGAAATTTAGACAAATGCACTGGGAACTAAACTGGCTACAATTAGGGTTCAGACACTTCCCATTTTACTTAAATGGGTACATACAATTGTTTTGCTGGTACCAAGAGCTTGAAGGAAGTCTACTGAATGTTCCCACCCTGGGGGACCAGGGATTCTTCAAATAAATGGAATAGAAAACTTAAGAGTGAGACAGCATGAAGAACTATGCCCCAAGCAAATACCTGAGCAGTTAACTTCCTGTGATTTACAGGGACGATTAAGAATAACATGTTGACATCAGCCTCGACCAGTTCAAGAAGGAGGCCAAAGTCTGGTTGGCTTGTGTGGATTTTGGTGAAACCATATCCCACATCTGGGGATCTTATTGAGCCATAAACACAAAGTTACAGGGACGAAACTTATTCTTCTTTCGTGTGGTAAAGTCATCACAGAATGCAAAATTGGAGACACACATATTGAACGTTTTAGTCTAATTAAGGCCACAAATATCCGTACTAGATTTTTCAATGGCTATCCTGTACTTGCTAGAGAAGAAAACCTCGAAAGTATACAACTCACTGATTGATTATAGACAGTGTATAACTAAAACATAAAGTTGTAATTCCACTGTGTCATAGTTCATAATCCACAGACACAAACATCTTCCATGAGTTGGGTCTTGTAGAACCCAGACAGTGTGAAAACTGTAAGGGCATCAGAAATTATTCTACATGAACAACTAAGTTGTAAAGTCTCGTGATTTTTGGTATTAATTCTTAATTGGCTTTTGATAACTTGGCCTGGCAAATTACCGAGATCGTGAATATTATATTTATCTAAAGATATAAGAAAATTGAGTTACTTCCTGAAGCTGCCAGTGACTAAAGATAACTAATAACATTGATACTCAGCAAAGGGAAGAATCTCCCTCTTCTGCTTCAGACAATAAGGTGGATTAAAAAATCTAAAATTTCTCCTACCACAAATACTTACAAATGCTAAATAAAATGTCACTAACTTCCTTTCACGTATGGCGGAATTCTCAAGAAAATAAGAGATATTTTTTGACCCCAGGGGTCAAAAATAAAGAGAAAGCTGAAAACAAGGGTGGTGAGTGAGAAAGCTGAGAATGTGGCAGACTGGAGGTTGCTGGTCTCCATGACAGTGCAGGTTAAAGTCCACATAAATAGAGGAGGAAACGCTCTTGACCTCGTCAGGTTGGAAGTTTGAACCACCATAAAGAAGGGGCGTTGGACCACAATAAAGAAGAGCTTGTCTACAATGAGGGGAACTAGAAAAAAAGGCCCCCCTGTGGCAGAGGGGAACAAGGAGACCTCTCAAACTCAGCCAAGGCTCTGGAAGGAGAAAAGAAAGCCCACTTCATCCAGGGATTCCAGAGCCAAGAATTTCACATAACGATCAGTTTTAGGCAGGGAGAAACCTGGGGCATGTTACGGAGGCAAATACAAAGCCTCCTGGAGGGACCTTCCCTGCCCTGTAAAACCCCAGCAAAGCGGCACGGACTAGGTCAAGGGTGGCTATTTCACGGAAACAGATGGATGTCTGTCTAAGAGTGCCGTGGTGTCTGTTGTGCCAATTCCCAAAGTGTAAGGTGTGTTCCCAGCGTGAATTCCCATTTCACACGGACCTCCATGAATCCTGAAGGGCCCCACTTTATCAAAATACTTCAGACTTCTGCAGCAGTGCTTTTCAAAGACAGACATTGCACTAGCCCACTTTTTTTTCCTAAGAACTCATTTAAATGAGTTTTTTTAAAGTAGAGATGATGAGCTATAAAGAGATGGATGTTAACAATTCAAAGACACTATATTTAAAAATCCATGTGGATGCGGTGGCTCACACCTGTAATCCCAGCACTTTGGGAGGCCTAAGCAGGAGGATCACTTGAGGCCAGGAGTTTAAGACCAGCCTGGGCAACATGGTGAGATCCCTGTCTCTACAGAAAATTTAAAAATTAGCCGGGCATGGTGGTGTGTGCCTGTAGTCCCAGCTATTCAGGAGGCTTGAGCCCAGGAGTTGAGGTTATAGTGAGCTATGATGATGCCACTGCACTCCAGCCCGGGCAATAGAGTGAGACATTGTCTCAAAGAAAAAAAAAAAAAATCCATGTAAGATTACAAGATATTTCAAAATTGGAGTCGTATATATCACAAGAAAATATAATTATGTTTATTAAAAGAAATAAATTTTTTGTAATTAAAGAAACCTGCTAAGGATGAACTCACAAACCAAAATTACAAGATATGTGGAAATAATCCACCATAAGTAAAATTGGACTCGAATTGCCTTCAGAAAATAAATTTGCAGAGATTATAAAGTATTTGTTTAAAATGTTGAAGAATTACAAAATGGAAAGCAAGAAAAAGAATGAGATAATAATAAAAAGGAACGGGCGGTTGAGCAAGGTAGGCAAGGAGGAGGAAGACCTGGCTATGCCATAGCCGCCCTGCCTGCTGCGTTTTTCTGAGCGGAGTCAGGCACAGCTGGGAGGAGAGAAGTTTAAAATTAAATGATAGAATGATGCTTCAGTATTAAACTGGTCTGAGCTTTTTTAAGAATTGAAAAGACTTCATTATTACCTGAGAATGATCTGCTAAGCTGCGGACTTGGCTAGTGATATTGTCTTAGTGGCAGTTATGGAGAAAAAGCATACTTTTTACATTTCATTCCTGCAATGTCTAATACTGTGGAATCGTTACAAGAGTATGCCTCAAAATGTATAGGCCAAAAATGTAACATAATTTAAAGGAGAAATGGATGAATTCACTTAACAGTGGGAGATTTTTAGTACTGTATACACCTCTCAGTAACTGATAGATTAAAGAGTCCCCAGATGAGTAAGGTTTGCAGAACACCATCAAGTAACTTGCCCTAAGTAGACATACACAGAATTCTGCACCAAGAGTTTGAAATATACAGGTTTTTAAAGTTCATATATTATATTTAAAAAAAAAAAAACCTCAAAAAACAACTGGTCAGGTGCTATGCAGCAAAGCATCTCACCTGACAAATACTCTCTCCTTTGAGAGACTCAGGCTCCTCGGAGCTCTCTGCTCGACTAGGCTGGTCCTTGGGCTTCCCTCCTGGTCCTTGAAGATTCCAGTTTGAGCAAGAATTCTGCTAAATCAGTTTTGGGAAAATCTCCCACCCTGGATATCTGACCACCCTGGACGTCTTCTCACCCTGACCTGCCTTCAGCAATGGTCCTATGAAATCAGTGTAGCCAGAAAGCACCCATCCTTGATGTTTCCTCTCGGTAATTTTCCGTCCACTGACCCTCCACCCTGCTCCCTCTTGTCCTTGTTAGAGTCAGGTGGACTCCAGTGTCTCTCCCCCACTGCAAGACACCTTTGCAGCAGTCCCCTTACTTAATGCCATGCCCCCTCCCACTTTAAATAAAGTCTGCCTTACCGTCTTTAACAAGCGTCATGAATAATTTTTTTCTTTAACATACGAAATTCTACACAATCAACATCACACAGACCACATTCTCTGATCATAAAGCAATTAAATTAGAAATCAACAACAAAAAGATAATGACTCCTCCATATATTTGGAGATTTTAAAACACTTCTACACAAGCCAAAAAAAAATTCTAATAGACTTTAGAAAATGTTTAGAAATTAATGATAATAAAAATACCCTCCAATGTACTTCAAAATTTGTGGGATGATACGTACAATGAAATACTATTCAGCCACAAAAAATTAAATCATATCTTTTGCAGCAACAAGGATGGAACTGGAGGCCATTATCTTAAGTGAAATAAGTCAGAAACAAAAAGTCGAATACCTCATGCTGTCTCTTGTAAGTGGGAGGTAAACAATGTACACACATGCACAGAGAGTGTGGAAAAATAAACATTTGAGACTCAGAAGGGTTGGGAGGGTTGAGGGGGGTGTGAGAGATGAGAAATTATTAATATTTAATTCATACATTATTCAGGTGATGGTTACACTAAAAGCCTGGACTTTACTACTATGCAATATATCCATGTAGCAACACCACATGCATACCCCTTACATTTTTTTCTTTTTTTTTTTATTTCATCCCACTGTTTCAGGGAACCCCTTAAATTCACACAAATAAAAAAGTTGGCATAGTTGCAAAAAAAAAATCGTGGGATGAAACTAAAACTATAATTGGTGGCAGATATATGGCCCTAAATGCTTATATTAGAAATAAAAACCAAATATTAATAAACTTAGCATCTAACTCAAGAAGCTAGTAAAGAAAAATAGCACAAAACTAAATTAGAAGAAGTAATAAAGATAATAAAGATAGAGAAATTAATGAATTAGAAAACAAAGATGGGGCTGGCTGTGGTGGCTCACGCCTGTAATCCTAGGACTCTGGGAGGCTGAGGTGGGAGGATCGTTTGAGCTTAGGAGTTTGAGACCAGCCTGAGCAAGAGCGAGTTTCCATCTCTACTAAAAAAATAGAAAGAAATTAACTGGACAACTAAAAAAAAATAGAAAAAATTAGCCGGGCATGGTGGCGCATGCCTGTAGTCCCGGCTACTCGGGAGGCTGAGGCAGGAGGATCACTTGAGCCCAGGAGTTGGAGGTTGCTGTGAGCTAGGCTGACTGACGCCACTGCACTCTAGACAGGGCAACAGAGTGAGACACTGTCTCAAAAAAAAAAGAAAGAAAACAAAGATACAGGGAGAACTATGGCAAGCACAAGCTACTTCTTTGACAACAATAAAATAGAAAAATTGGTTAAGATTGATCAAGAAAGAAAGGGATAAGGCCCAAGTAAACCAGTGCTGAAGTTGGAGGGGATTTAAAAGGTCCCCCGTTTTCTCGCAGGAGTTCTTAACTGAGAGAGGGAAAAAAGGCAGATAAAGCTCAAAATACCATCTTTATTACCGATAGGGGTTACGCTGGAGGACACGCCTTAGGTGAGCAGTGATGATGGGTTTCCCAATCCTGAACTCAGGTCAGATACGAACTTCCCAGCCAGTCACAGCAAAACCAGGGACCGTTCCACATGGGGGACCTCTCCACATGGGGGTCCGCCCCTGTGAAATCTGGGCATGAGGAAGCCTCAGTGCACGACAGGTACAATCGGTGGGATCCCAGAGGGAAGGAAGGGAGGAGGGGCCAAACTCACACGGCCACGCCCTCCCCAAACCCACCTATCAGGTAACTCACCTGGGCTCCCGAGGCGGGGTAAGGGGTGGGGCAAGAAGAAAAGAGAATTTAGGAAGAGTATTAGGCTCTTCCTCCTGGAAAACAGAGGAATGGGAAAGCAGTGATCCCACTTCCCAAATATTAGGCCTGAAAAAGGGCACATCACTACAAATACGGAAGAGATTTAAAAAACCGTAAGAGAAACTTACGGACAACTTCATGCCAATTAATTTGAAAATTTAGCCTACAGGGCTCATTTCTTGCCCGCAAGCCACTGTTAACTGCATTCCCACAGTCCAAGACAGTTTTGCAAGCAAATTCTACCATTCGAAGGATAAGCTTACTTCGACACAAATTCCAGAGAATAGAAAATATTGTTCCCAATTCATTTTATGACGATAGTAAAACCAGAATACTAGAATCAGAAAAAGACAGTATGAAGCAGGGAGATTATAGACCAATCTCACTTGTAAACTAGGATATAAATAAATGCAAAAATCCCACATATGACATTACGAAAGCAAATTTAGAACCAGTTTTAAAAAAATTATAATGATCAGAAAATATAAACATCAAAGGCCAGCGGGATAATTATCTATTACAACAAATTTCATGAATTGCCACTGGAACTTGGTAGATTTCCTCCCCCCCCCAGGGATCATACACAGTGCTCACTGACCACTTAATGATTTTATTTAAGTGACTTTTGCAAAAACAGATTGATAATTCTGGTTTATTCAAAATACTAATTAAAAAAAA